CTTGACAGGTGATAACAAGGCTCACAGAGCGTTGACAATGTTGCCCAGTACTTACACGTATACAGTGTATAGGATTTGGTAAAAAACGCGCTTACAGGTCCGCCCCCGAACCCTGTCCCGAAGTTATTGGCGTACAAGTTCCACACTCTACAGGACGACTTCCTTCAATTCAAATTTAGAAGAACACTTAAAAAGGGAACACTAAACCAGAGTTTGTGAGTACCACGACGGGCACTTAGTAGGAGCCACGCTGTCAGACTGAATCACGTAACTCTCGTACTCAGCATCCCTTTGAGGTCTAGTCCAGGCTATAGAAGGAAGCAGTACAAGGCTATAGAAAGAGCAGTAGGGGTTATAGAAAGGAGCAGCACAGGTGTGAAGAGGAACGCAGACGACCAGAGGCACCGCTAGTCTTGTTCGCTGCACATGATGGGGCGTGGCCGGTGGGACGGGCTGGCGCGGCGCCGGTGTGAGTTCAACCAGTTGTGGAAGCAAGCAAGCGACAAGACTGTATCATATCGTTCGTATCAGTTGTTTTTTACCAATTGTTGCTACTTACCCGTGATGGGAAACTGGTTCGGCGCCCCCATTCAGCCTGCACAGCCCCATAAACCGCAGCGAGCAGGACTATACATTTCCCGTAAGAAAGATAATGATGAAGCAGGAAATATTCAAAATAGCTATGCTGGAAAGCTACGCACTAGTGTCGTTGGAAGAAGCAAGCGGCTGCATGACCAACCCGTTGGGCCGCATCCCCTCTATGGTGACGACGTCGCTCCTCTGGGCTCAGCCTTATATTATGTTCATGCATTACGACTCGACAGAAGGGGTATTTTGGTAGAATGCGCAGAAGAAAAGTATAGGTACCGATCTGGCATTTTATGAGAAAATCTGCCTCCCTTTGGCTATGTTACTCTTGAAATGCTGCCAATAGCTACATTAATCTCCTCCTTCGCGTATTCTGCCGGGACACTCATTCTTACCAGTGCAAGGTGTAAACGTAGCCTTGCAGAGCGCCAGGCGACTTGACAGGGTGCGGCCTATTCTCGTCGCATTCTCATTCAACCCACAGTGGCCTCATAATCACAACAATTCAATGAGAGCTCCAGTGACAAAAGTGCTTACCTGAGACTGGCGCCTCACCATACTTCTTTGCTTGATGAGCGTATGCAGTACGAATTTTACTATTCCTGTAAACAAAAGTTAGAGTCAGCGCGGCTATGATTATGATCCTTCCCTGCAAAAAAAGATACTCTCTCTCTCGCTCTCCTCATTTATACACTCCCTCACAACTCATCTCGCTGTGATGGAAACGTACTGGACATGAACATGACGCAGGATGCGTTTTGTGGGATATTTCCGTTCGATACAACTTTCGTACTACTTTGTGTGGGACAAAAACTTAATTACAACAATCTTAAAACGGCAATATCCCTGCGAACAGCACAGACGCCACAGCGTTTAAGTCAACTACACAGCGACGCCCTCTTGATTGAAGGTAAACACGTTGATAAAGCGCGTTCCCATCACTTACATTAACCGTAGCAGCAACATGGTTGACAAAGGTGAAACCCACGCGGGGAAAATAAGAAGGGGTCCAAGAAAAAACTAATGAGTGAAGACAGTGAGCATTAACCCCGAGGGATCTCAACGGAAAGCGTTCATAATCACAGTGCGGCCACGCTCACAAAGTTGCTGGCGCTTCCTAACTTCCACGGCTTTCACGTAAACTCAATCAGATCCTAGTGCAAGCGTTCCGCTCCATGTCGTCGTAACATGGATGTGACCCCCCCCTAAACCAATCCCTTCCAACAGACTTAGATAATCAC